AATGTAAAAATATTTCACGAAAATTGTCGCAAGAATATATATTTTCAGAATTGGGAACCGATAAGAGTGAGATCGCGAGCGATAGTTAATTAAGTTTCAATATTTGGTTTCAGTCTATCTTCAAGTGTATATAAACTAATTAATCATGAAGTAATTATTAAGAATAGCAAAAAGTGAAAGAATCGGTTCTTAAGTAATATTCCACTTCTATCAAGATAATTTAAATACATCGTTCAATAAAACAGTTACTTTAGATATTTTATTGTTAGAGCATCCACTAATTTCAATAATAATAATTGTGAACTAGTACGAAGTCAAATTGCTCACCTGCTGCTTTCTGTTCAAAAACTGTACTTGTTTTAGACAACCTTCTAACTACGTTTTCCATCGCTTACATGAACGGATTTAAAATTGAGCGGATATAATGTTCTAGGTTATTTATTTATGGAGAGTAAAAATTAGAATAAATTTTTTGAGATTCTTGGTTAGTTAAGTGGTTATATATGTTTGTTATTGCCTAAAATGGCAACATAATGTTTGCAACTCCATCGAATAGCTTCCAAAAAAACGAAATCGCTATAATTAGAAGGGCCTCGAAGTTCTTTCGTTTTTAGACAACATGAATTCGTATAGAATGTTGGTGGCTGCATCCTCGGTTTCTCACAACATGTAAGATATAGTTTTTATTTTTTTTGTACGACTGATACCACTTCGCTTGTGTATTTTTAAAATGTAACAACACACCATTATACTCAATAATTGTTTTAAAGACAATGATATGTACATAGTTGACGAAAATGGTCAAAAAGTATTTTTTGTAGTCATATAAAAGGAAAGTAGAATTCTTTCTTATAATTATTCCTAAACTCTACTGAAATATCTAATTCAGAATAAGGTATAATTCACAAAGCAAAAAAAGCAATAATTGAAGATGTTTTCTTTAAACAGTCTTATTAAATATATTAGTGTATTGTTGCTTACCCGCGCAGCATTAGCTCAACCGCTGGAGGAAAGAGATGTAGATGTTAATGTTGGAACGACACATGTGCATTTAGGTCTAGGAACTTCTATTCAGTCAGGTACGGCTGTAGCTTTAGGTTGTACGAAATTTGCCCTCCCAGGACCTGTTTGTTGGGTCGCTGGAGCTCTAGCTGCTCTATTGGCAGCAGATATTGAAATTACATTGGGTGGTGAAAGTTCCGGTGCAACAAAAGAAAACGCCAAACGTGATTATATTCCTGTAAAGTATTTATATAACGACAGCTATGTGTCTTATAGTATTGTCACAGTTCCTTCTCATGCTATCGAATCATTTAACGAAAATAACATAACTTTTGGTCAAGCTTTGTTGGCCACTTATTATGAATCTAGTGCCTTAACAAAACGTACTATTCAAGAGGGTCATATTATTCAATTTAATAGCTCCTATGGTCAACATATTGCTGCTGATATCGGATATAGACCAATTGAGGATTTCATGGGAAATATCACTAGTAGTTCACCTGTAAATGACAACCATTCCAAGAGGGGTTGGGATTTCGATGTCGATTGGTTATCTTACAATTTTGATAATGTTAATAAAGGATTAGCAGCTTCTTGGTATGATGCCTATGAATATGATAATGACGATCCCAAAAATGTGATTCAAACCGAGCTTGCAAATTATGTTACTCAACATGGCGCTTACAAATACTGCGTTAGTGCTATTTACTCTCCAGACAATGTTGGTTCCCTTGGAACTGGGGATTCGAACGAAATTCAAAACGCATATCATGGCGAACTATATTTCAATACTTATGGAGGGGTTGATGGTCAATGCAATGACAATTATGATTGTGTTTACGGGTGCTCAGGAATGTAAGTTTATTTTTAGTAGACCATATCAGTCTTATTTCTCAGATCACGATTTTCTAGTTCTTATTCTACAAATTTAAGAATCATCTGGTGGGTCAGAATATCCAATGTGATATATATAATTGTTACGATAATTTCTTAAATGTTATACATGACGGCTTGTGTAAAATAACTAAATATTAATTAGAAATATTGGGTGTCATCTCTCGCTATCTCATACATACATATTTTCATGTGTCTCTGTATATATGTTAATATTTTTAATGTGTTAAATTTAACTTTTATATTATGAAAGGTAAGTATAAGTCAGAGAAATATTGAATAGAATGTAACACTTAAACTGAACAAATTATTCTAGAGAGTTTGAGGTAGAGATTTCATTCTCCCTTGATTCATTATTTTCTAGTAAGTAAGTTAAATGTAAATCAGACATTTTTGATTAAGCAGTTATTTTAAATTATATAATCTTCAAATTACTTAATCATAAATATTTTGCTGGTCTCTTTCCAATATTGCTAAGTATTATTTCTTCACATATTTTTGAAACTAAGTGTCACAGTAAGTTATCTTTAGTTTCTGACAGTTATATAATGTAATGATGTCAATAATACGTAGTAGAAAAAGGAGAGAAAGGTATGATTGTAAGAGATACAAGCAAATACACTTTTTATCAATATAAATTAAGTAGATTAAAGGAATTTTTAGTTATTTGTATCACTTTTGTAGCACTTTTCTATATTATATAGAAAGAAGGTTAACTAATAACACATACACCAAAGACGTGTATACATTACAATCTAACTAATATATAATGTAGCAATTGCACTATAGAGTTCTGTTAGCTTTCAAGTGCACATGAAATTGTTGGAGATTATTAGAAATGTAATTTTAAAGTAATAAATTAGTATAGGAGAATATTGCAGCTGTGTTATCATGACAGAAGAGAAATAAGATTTAACTGATATGCGTACTTGAACGAAGGGGAACAGCATAATCACAACCGATTTATAATTTAGTATATAAAGAAAACAAATATGATCCAGATATGGATTAATGGTCTCATTCTTCGTATGCAATTTCTGTATAGGCTTAAGAGGAGCCAATTTATCTTTTTCTCGAGTAAAATAGAAGGTTTTTGGTATTACTCATACTTATTTAGCAATATGTGGTAAGCGTTTACATAACTAGTTATGTTATCTTGTAGAGCATAACTTATCTTGTCTATTCTCTATTTTATTAAAAATTTTGAATATTATTATACAGTCTATTCTTTGTGGTTCTCTTTCAAACCCCAAATATAATATACATAACATTTAGGACATGGATATGTTTTACGTCCATGTTCCATGCTCTATATATATAGCTGCTATTAGTTTATTTTCTTGTTCATACAAGGATCCCTTCATCTCAGACCAACTAGGATAACCCTATTTTATTATCTTTAATTACCGACTTTTCGTCGTACCGTTTATCATTCCTTGCTCTTAATAAGCTTATGCCATTGTTCTATGGGGAATTAAGATTCAGCAATATGAATATTAAAAACATTCAATACTTATTACCTGGGTCATTCTCTACATTATGATTATGATGACTTCATTTTTAACTTAATGATATATCCGACAATTAGTTCAAGTATAAAATATTTGTTTCCCCTTGTTGTTCTTCAAAATATAATGTTTTGAATTTATGCGCAGTTATTGAAAATTTATAATTATTGTATTCAGCTTATGATCGTCTGATCATTTTGTTACATAAAACACAAAAGTATTTATAAAACATGGGTTATAATTTATTCCATATAAGAAATTCTTTCCCTTTATATTTATTGGATTGTATCGTCGTGATTATGAACCCCCTATCAAGTGGGTTAAATCTTGACTTAGTAATTTATGGGGCAGTTATTATACAACATTGAATCCATTTGTATCTCGTGTAATTAATTCCAAACAAATTTTTTTTAACCTTGTCGTCTTCTGTATTTGGACCATGAAATATTCACCACTACCTCTATAGCGTTTCTGAACTAATCACGTTTAGTTCGTTCTAGAGATTTGGCCTTGGTTCAACAATAATGGCAATTTTTTTGTAATATACAACTTAGCAAAAGATATGTAGAAATTTACGTTATATATACATATTTGTGATTACTAGAATATATTTCAATAAATAAAATAATGCACCATCTTTATTTAGTAATAGAGATATCACTACTCATCAAACTAGTAATTACAGATATTGCAGAACATAGTTTCGTGCTTCCGCCAACTGCTGGACATAATAATCCGATAGTTGCTGCAACCTGGACAGATCTTCCAAATCCAAACAAAACACTGTAGGTTCTCCAAAGAAAACTGACTGATTTTCCACGGAAGTCAATTATAAAGTCCATCAGAAGTAATAACAGGGAAATACTTACCAAAATATTATCAGAAGTCACAACATGGATATATTTTCTAGCATTGCCCCAGTTATTACTATTCTCAATCTCTTCCATGGTTCAATTTCTATTTTGTGTTATGTTACGTCCAAAAAACCTCACTTGGTAGTAATGTGCCTATCAACATTTAGATACTCCACACTATAGAACATTCTTGAATTTTTACATTCAAGAATGTTCTATAGGGAAATTGTTATGGGTTTGAAAACCCATTTCCGTCCTCTATTCAATATTATCTGTTTAGCCGGTCTTTCTTTTTCTGAATGGGCGATATTTTCCCATGCCTAGTTTCCAGTGTTTTTCTCCAGTCATGTGGTTTTGGGTACCCCCTGTTTGTGCACCCTTAGTTCGTTTCAAATGATAAGTAAAAAGTAACTAGGGTAAAACTTAAAAAAAACAAAGAAGCATTGGGTAAAGTTCGAAAATTCTCTGAAAAAGGAAACCCCGTAGTATGAGCTAAGGATGCCCTCGAAGTTTGTTTTGGGTGCTCTGACATGTTTGTTTATCTTTCATATCTAAAACATACAAATAGAGAAAATGTCGAGATTATTTAATTCATTATCTACATTTCTATAGACGTACATAATAAATAAACAACAAAATTTATGTGAACGTAATTGACTAAGAGAGAATACCAAAGGTGATTCAGAATTGTGATCGTTTGACATAATTATAAATATATGATTGTATAATTATTATTGGTTGTTCTATTTAGTAATAGAAAATAATTTACATATAATATGCAGTAATTTGTAATATAAAGAAATGAATAGAAGAGTAAAATATAGCTCCTACTTATAATAATAATTGGAATTTGCCACCATAAAAGTTACTGTGGCATAAACTTAGATTATTAGTAATCAAGAGTGTCATAGAATATTCTTGTTGAAAAGTTGCTCTGGAACAACTGTTGCAGCTTATATTCCTCCGCAACAATTTATACATATAATTGATTCAAAGAAGCATTGAGCATTCAAGATTCAACATATTCATAAACTAATAAAAAAATGGTAAAAAACAGTCAGAATGTTGAAAGAATTTGCTGAAGTAGAAGAATAAGCTTTGGACAGGTCTATCGTCTTTGACAAAAGGAAACGAATTTCTTAATACGAATCAATGGGAAAAAAACGATGCAACTATGTGTGACAAGGATAACGGTCGCGTGATTGTTCAAAACCAGGAACAAGCAGTTTTGAATAACTCAACAACGAGACTTCTTTCTGATACTAATTCATGGGATTCTAAGTTTATTGAAATTTCGGAAAGCAAAACAAAACGAAATCCAAAGACGTATACCTTTATTGATATTAAGCACCTCCCACCTCGTTACTCTCAGATCATTAAGAATCAAAGTAAATACATCAGAAAATACCGTTCTTTGTATTTAAAGAAAATTGAAGATTCAGAAAAACTAGGTTATCAAATTGTTTCCCAATGTGATGTGTGTCACAAGATTCCGGAAGATCTGTCGAATATGCGTAAACATATGAACCGCCATCCTACAATAGCTTTGAGCAATTTCTTTTTGGCTAGGACTATGAAGAGAGATATTTTTAGATGCTTAACAATTAAACAAGCGATCTCTAAGTCTGATTTTGGAGAAATGACTTCAATAAGAAAGACTTTTATAGATAGCTCATCTACCATCTGGATAAACATTTTGTTCCTTTTTCCACCGTTGAAAATGAAAGTTACAAAATATTCCTAAGTGAGGGGATGGAATGCACTACAATAGGAATAAATTTTCTAAAGCCATTGCAAACTTGGCTGACGAATTCCACAAGGAAGTCCGGGCTATCTTAGCGAAAACCATGCTTATCTCTCTTATCATTGATAGTTGGACTGATAAGACAAACAGGAAATTTTTGGGAGTTATCGCAATCCTTCTTCCCAATTTAGATGAATTAGAAACTCTTCCAAGAGATTCCGTTGTTTAATTGACCAAAAATAATAATGGAAGGTTGCAATGCCAACCTTTCTTACGTTTGAAACTTTTGGAAGCTGAAAAAGCAACAGCTAGTAACTTAGCTGACTCGATTTTACAGCTTTCCGAGCCCTATGGAATTACCAAACATTATTCACCATTATTTCTGATAAGGCCTCCGCCAATATCAGTTTGAAAACTGTTCTCTTTGAAAGATTGAAACCAATCTCTCCTTTGATTAGAAGAACCGGGGAGATCTTCCATTTCAGTTGCCTAGCAAACATGAAAAACCGTTTGATAATGACAATTTCAAAGTCATTAAAGGATGCGGACCAAATATGGCTTGATAGGATTGTGGAATTAGGAGAATTGAACCATGTTGAGACCAAACTCAAAAATAAAAGGAAAAACCATTAATGTACTATAATACCTAATGTAAAATAGATATATTAAAACATTCACCATTATTAAAGCCATTATGTTCTAATACTTACTGATAAAATATGCTTTACCTTGGTAATACACAAATCTTATTCTTGAATTAACTTAGTTGGATATTGACTCCATATTTTATGTTGGTTGTGTTATTGTGAATAACCCATAACAATATGGTAGTAATCATTAAAACGTACTTATCGATGTTCAAGCAATATTATTTCTTATCCCAACTAAAACACTATTTTTTTTCGATGATAACTGTTAGAACAAAAGACTAAGTTATCACTAATCAATTAATAACTCTGTTTATATTTCATTATTAAAA